ATGTATAATTTTATATTCAGGCTATGACCCCTTGATATCATAATCGTACGTGGTTGACTAAGCATTATCGACAAATGCGACGAACCAACACAACAACCAAGCGTCAAATATCCATGAAAAACAGGCTGACGTCAATTGGTGAAGTTTGTGTAAATCCAAGCGTGGACATTAATAGTTTAACTGGAAAACCGGCCGTGTGATTTGATGGTTGGGTTATGTATATTGGTACAAACAGAACTTGACGGCACGAAATGTCACGTCCTTGCACGCTGGTACGGATTGCCCTATTTTTTGTCCAAAACCTCATCTCACTAATTCGAAAATAAACTGCCCGGTTCAGTACCTTAGGGTATGCGTGAACAATTGTGCAAAATGTCGTTCGAATTGTTCAACTGGTTGTAGAGTTATGGATGCTCAAACTTGCACCATAACGTTATTGCAGATGGGAAGAAATTCAAGTTGATAATCCTGTCTTATCCTGTGCATTTCCGAAGAACTTTGATGTAATTATTAATCCTCTATATCTCTTCTACAAAACCTGCTGCAACCGGCTGCAACCATTGTATACAGACAGAGAAATTTGAGTTTAAGCATGACAAGTCATCTTTCCATGCTATTTTTCTCAGAGCCATATATTTGGTTCGGGTGGATATGTTTTCATGAAATTTGGTAATTTTGTAGCTTATACCATCTAGAATTGGTCGTAAAAATCTCAGAATTTTGTGTTGATAATTGCAATAAGTATGAATCAAGAAGTATGTGATACTTCGTCCCATACCACGCGCTTTAACTCGCAATGCTCTGCTGTGTTAACTCATGGAGAATTTTGGACCTAGAAACTCAGTAGTTTCGTCGGTCGCTCGATGGTCAGGGTGTAGAACAAGATCCCTCAAAGAATATATATTCTGGACCCCCTCGGGGGTAGCTTTCTAACGACACCCTATTTATGGGGCAATATGCGACTTGACCTTTCGACATTTCGACTCTCAAAACACGTCATGGAGGTCGATTTCGATCTTCAGTGTAATTTAACTATTGTTCTACTTCTAAAGGTCTATAACATATCCAAAATTGGGGAAAATCGAACCAACTAACACGACATGACCTTTGACCACACCCCCAGGGGGTGTGGCAAACATTACCTACTTCTAGTGGTCAGCTGTATTGGAAAATCATACGTTGATTCCCATTAACAGAAGTGCAATTGATGGAATGGTTTAGGCAGTGTAAGTTTTGGAAATGAAATAGAACAATCCGTACCAGTGTGCCTTGTATAGAGTACTCAGAAATGGGAATATGTTAAGCGGACTTTAATAATCTTAAAAATGAACAGAGATCGTTTCGTGATCAGCAGTAGAAAATAAACTGCAGACTAATCGCTAAAAGCTATGTAATGCTATATAAGAATAGAAAGTTTGCGTGCAGACTCTGTGGCTAACCCTTGTAAGCCTTGTTGAAGTATGCACAACTTATGTATTTACGTATGAGTTACATATGTACATAGATAAGTATGTATCTCATAGTCAGCCAATGGGTGTCTTGTACATGTCACGAAACAGTTGGATGTGAGTATGTTCTGAACTTGAAGCCTCCCTTAAAATATATTATTTCTTATATGAGCATACAGATCATGAATATTTAATTGATTTGTTTATGTATGCTCGGCAGTGACTCTATTTAAAATCTTCAAATATAGCATTCGACGACTTTCAATATTATCAGGGATTAGGGGTGCCTTCTGCTTGTGTATATATATATGTATATACGAGTGGAATGAGAAAAACTTAATGACCGTTACGATATGAATTTCTGGATCCTTAGCCAATAATTGAAATGTAGATGCGACTTTTTGAGCCTGGATGACAGTCGATGTCGAGTAGATGAGAAAATTTACGCTGTGTACAAATTGTCCATGATTGTAATTTCCTAAGTGCTCCCACTTATGTACATAGTTGTGGGAACGTATTGATGTCACGTTTATTTCATCAATTCCATTGAGAAATACAATTTGGAAAAATGTGCATAGACATACATTGTTTGACATTAGTGTATGTCAATACAACTTCACTTATTGTTTTATCTGTATGTCTGTTATTTCTTTAACCACGTGTGGCGATATATTTCAAGATTATGTGAATAGTGGAATTTACAATTATTAATAAAGAAATTTGAGTACTCAATAGTTGTGTTCCAAATTTTTTTGACTGGCGATAAGAATTAAAACACCCCACATGGACATTTATGGGGTTAGCACCATACCTGTGAATATTTATTCAAAATTTGAGTTTGAATAATGAATAATGTTAATTATTCAAAATTTTTTGAATATTGAATAAATAAATAATTGGGTATTAACTTAGTTGTTGAATATTGAATAAATAAATAATATTTTGATTTGAAAGAATGTGTAGTGAAGAAATGAATAAATGATGATATGTACTGAATAAATAAATAAATAAATAAATAAATGTTGGATGTATAGTAATAAATCTGACTAAAATTTGGTTAAACTTGAGACAGACTTGTTTCACATTATTTATTCACTATGTATGTGACAAGTTATACATAGCTCGAAGATCTTACGTTCCCCATAAAAATCTCACTTGCCCCATGAAAATCTCACGTTGCCCCATAAAAATCTCACTTGCCCCATAAAAATCTTAGGTTGCCCCAAAAATAAATACATATTCAATGAATAAATAATTTTCTTCAGTTTAATTGAATAAATAATGAATAAATAATTTTATTCAAAATTTGATTAAATAATGAATAAATAATTTTATTCAAAATTTGATTAGATAATGAATAAATAATTTTATTCAAAATTTGATTGAATGAATAATGAATAAATAATTTTCTTTGAAGTTCGTTGAATAAATAGTGAATAAATAATTTTCTTCGGAGTTTTGAATGATTGAATAATGACTGAAGAATTATTTTTTGCACAGCTATGGTTGGCGCACATCACATCCCAGCCGAAGAGCACATGCGATACGGAATGTCTCGTTGGGTAAAAGTGTCCCAAGTTGTGAGGAGGGAACAGCGTTGAGCCAGGCCCCCACATTAGGTTGTCTCATGGCCAGGAAGCGGGTCTTGTCTTCTGGGTCGGGTGCCCAGTTCTTGAGGTGTGATTGCCTCCTGTTGAGGTTTCTCCCACGTTGCTTGGACGCCCCGTACTTCTAGTGGTAGTTCTGCAGGTCCCAGCGGATTCAACCTCTCTTCACCTTCTTGAATGGCTGTATCAGTGCCATGGAGGTACGACGGTAAAAGGCGCTCAACAAGGGGCAGGGCGCTGTAGGCGGACGCGGAAAGCACGGAATCGCTACGTCTACAGCGTGCCTGACCCGCAGGTCACCATCGCCCACTGCTGGGAGAGAAGATTGGACCCAAGATTGGGGGGAAAGTGAACAGTTCAGGATTCCTTCCATAGCCTCCTTGAGTCTGGCAGCGTACACGGTGAGGGAATCAAATCTCCACGTAGGCGCACATCGGAGAAAGCAAATGAGACGAGGAGTCAAGATGGAAGCCCGGAGAAGGAAGAAACCAGAATGAGAGGAGAGATCGAGGAATCGTACGTCAAGTGTTGCCAACTGGTCGGTCTTCGCCCCCACCACCGCCTCGATGGCATCGCCTGTGAAGGGGGTACCCAATAGAATGGCGGATACGGGGGAGAACTCCTGGATTCCTGGCGACGCTTGGCGGAAATTCTCCAAAATTTCATGACGGCTGCGGTTGTCCACCTCTCCCAGTATCCCTACCTCACACTGGACGGTGTTGAGGTGAAGACCAACTTCCGCTCCCATGCCGATAATGGTGTCCAATGCGATGATCACTTTCTTCGGTGTGTCGGCTAGGGCGGCAGCATCCAAATATTATAAATTGAGTAATGTCATGTAAACATCATCATGTAACAATATATACATATGCAGCCATGTAAAAGTACATAAATATGTAGCCATGTAAATTTCATATGAGGTCTTATAAAAATACATATGTAGTAATTACATATAATGCTTTATTATCATAGAGTAAAGTAATGTATTCGAAGAGCGTTAATGATTAACATGGCTCACGCGTGTCGATACGGTGAATACCGCTGCTTTGATGTCATAATTTGGTGACGACAAAAGGGGCACTTATTAATGTTTTCGTTACGTGTAATGTTTCGTGGTATTGTTTCGATACGGATACATCACGGTTGTGTTACTTGGAATACTCCGAAATTAGGAAATGGAAGAACCGATACTGTACTCGATCACTCCTGGGATTCTGTACCTTAAATGGAGTCGACAATAACTGGAAACACTCGGAAAATGTTTCCCAATTTGTAAGAGATTTATTTCCCCAAAAAACGTGGTTATCCATTGCAATATCCCAAAAATTATTTTTTTCTGTGAAATCTAAATCTTTTAGATGTACTAGAGCTTTAAATGTATTTGGTCTTGTTCCTTCTAGAGGCGGGTTTAATTCGGTTGTCATTAATCCAATGTAGCAATTTACCAGTATGACAGACATTAAGGTCCAAGCAGAAATAGTGATACGATAGAGAGGTTTGCCTTCTGATCTGGATGGAACTGGGATAGTCTCTTCAAATAATGTGGCCAGAATGAATAGCCACGCTGAAAATGAGTCAGATGTTTTCCTTTCTACTCCATATTTATGAAGCATATAGATAAATAGAACACATACAGTACTGGAGGACAGCAATAGATACCAAATTTCAGATTGAAATAGTGTCAGACAAAATTCAAAAGTTACAAATTTCTTAGAATAACATGACAAGACTTTTGTTTAAATAAAGAAAGGTTGCAAATATATCTTGTTCAACGGATATCATGGATGACATTATTGGAAAGTTTGTTACACTCCAAGCTTTCAATTACAAACTGTAATCTTCATCAGGGAATTTACATCAAGAGAAATTAAAAATTACACAAAGTGATCACTTATTGGACATCGATGTTGACTTGAGACGCTTAGCACTATGGAAAATAAATAAATTATAATAAAGGAAGGAGAGTTGGAGTCCAAATTGGATTGAGATGCATTCCATCATTTTGATTCATTGCTCGCTGTTTAGCGTTGATGTATAGGCCTTCCTTGAATTTTCTGGCGAAGTATCTGGCCTCGAAATGAATGATCTTTGCATCATCAAAGTTGATTCGATGGTTTGGGTTGTCTGTTACATGTTGGACAAAGGATGAGGTTTCGGTCATCTTCCTGAGATCCCTTTTATGTTCTTTAACTCGAATATCCAGGGTCCGTTTTGTTTCTCCTATATATTGGTCAGGACAACCATGACATGGAATTCGGTAGATTCCGAAGGACCGTTTTGGTTTTTTGTCCTTATGGGAGCTGAGGAGCGTCCTGATTTTAATTCCTGGGGTGTAACCGAATTCAAAATTGGTCTTCCTTCTAAGGAAATCTGTCAGTCTACTTGTAACTGGACCTAGATAGGGAAGGACAAAACGTGATGGTGGATCATTTAGTTGATTAAGATTTTGTTGGAAATTAAGCAGTTTTTCTTTCATCTTGGTCTGTCTTTTTTGAATGAGGGACGCTGGATAACCATTGTTCCTTAGCATTTTTGTTATGTGGTTAGGTTCTTCTTCAATGGATTGGACATCACATATTTTGAAGGCTCTATATAATAATGCATCCGCTACAGAGATTTTGTGTGAAATGTGATGATATGATGAGAAGTGCAGATAACGGTTAGTGTGTGTGCTCTTGCGGTAGACTTTACGGGATAGTGTGTTATCCGGATTTCTTGATAAGTCCACATCTAGGAAAGCTAACTTGCCATCATTTTCTATTTCCATTGTGAAATTAACAGAAGCGTTGATATTGTTCAATTTATTGAGGATGTCATTACATTTTCTTCCCTTTATGATAGCAAAGATGTCATCCACATATCTATTCCAGTAAGAGATGAAAGGAGTTGATGGAACAATTTCATCTCCCAAACTCTCCATAAATAGATCTGCAAAAATTGGTGAAACCGGGGAACCCATTGGGACGCCATCTTTTTGATAATAAATTATGTTCCGGAATGAGAAGTAGCTGCATTCCAGACATAACATGAGAAGTTGGAGTATGTCTTCTTCTTCTAGATTTGTAATTTGTTTCCATTTTGTTTCTTCCTTTAATCTTTTCTTAATGTAATTTAATGTATGTTGTTGAGGAACATTTGTATATAATGAGGTCACATCGAAGGAGACTAGGATATATCCAGGTTTGACTTTTACAGTACTAATTCGATCCACAAATTCATATGAATTTTTGATGGCATATTTTTTCTTCGAAATGGTCTTAAGTATGGTGTTAAGATAAGTGGCAAGTTTGAAAGATGGTGAGCGTTGAAAGTCCACAATTGGTCGTAATGGTATATCCTTTTTATGAACTTTAGGAAGTCCATAAAAAATTGGTGTTGATGAGTAACGAGGAATAATTGTTCTGTATTCCTGTTCCGATAATTTATTTGCCTTCTTGAGATTCAAATAAACTTGACTGATTTTCTTTTCATAATGTGGCGAAGGGTCTATAGGTTTGGTTGCGTAAGTTGGTGTTGACAGCATGTCTAAACATTTTTGGTCATACTCAGTTCTATCCATGATCACCGTCAAGTTTCCTTTGTCAGCAGGTAAAATTACAACTTTTTTATCTTCTTTTAGTGATTTGATTGACGGATATAGTTTTTTGTAACAACCACAACTTCACCAATTTGTCGAATGAGGGCCAGCCCCTCCTGGCCCCACACCCCTGTCGTTTCCATGGCAACGGCAACAAAGTGGTAGCGGTCGGTGAGGAAAGCATATTTCTTTCTCTTGGCGTCTTCTGCCTTACTGGCGGCTGCGCCCTGGTGGCAAATTGTTTCGGGGAGATGGCTGGGAGCGAAGGTGTCAGCGCAGGTGAAGTCCCAAACCAAGGACTTTCCTCGTGCCCACGGAACAAGGGTCATCCCGTCGGGTCTCTTCCCATCAGAGTTAGAGCACCCTGCTGGCTCCCGAATGCAGGGCACTTCCGCTGAGCGGAGAGCTCGTGCGATGACGTCGTTGGCGGCCTCGTGGCGGGACCAATGACCAGCACTTCGGCGGCAAGAGAGGCCGTGGTAGCCTCGCGACGTCACTTGCACCCCACACGGGCACTTGTGTGGCTCGCAGATGTCGCAGCCTAGGCGAAGGGCGATTGCGACGCGGAACGTCTCATTTGGGAGGAGGGTGTCAAGTTGTGGAGATGGGAGGGCGTTGAGCCACACACCCGCGTACTTGTCGTGGAGGGAACGAAGGCGAGCTTTGTCCTCCGGCAGAATTGCTCGCTCTGAAAGTTGGGACAGAGTGATGTCCAGAATAGGACGCTCCCATGCGGCCTGCACTCCTCTCACGGTTTCGAGAGGTACTTCGGTGGGGCCCAAGGCAATCCACTGCTGCTCCCCCTCTATCAAAGCGATGTCGGTGCCTTGGATGTCACGTTACAATTACGGAGCTCTGGAACATTGGTTTTCCACTACAACCTCTTCGCAGTAATCGCGCCTCACTTAAACTACCTTCAACTGCTTAAAAGGTACGGGGTTACAGCAGAAATATAAAGTTCTCAGTATTAAGTAGTTTCAATAAGTTTGCAGAAGTAAATACCACAGTAATTATAACTATGGTCGGTAATTTATAATTAGACCCTTTTTTACTGAAATATAAATTTTCCCATTAATTTATTATTAGTTTGCCCCATGATTAATTTTTTGAAACTTCTAAAATTTGAAAAGTCATCATAAATAAAATACGGCAAATAACTCCAACTTGAATTTTTGGCGTTACAAAGTTGGCTAACTAAAATTTCTAAATAAAAAAATGTTTAATTTTATTGCAATGACCATACATACAATCGTTTAAATAATTATATTAGTTGCATACACATATTAATATATCATTTTGATAAAATGTCTCACCTGAATATTATAGCCGGGTTCAAAATGCGTACACCATCTCAGTTCATCTCTCCTGTATCCGGCTCTACAAAAAGATTCAAATCTTGGAGAAGCACATGAACGCCTGCCTAATGACTAGGATCGTCCCTGCAATTGTTGCTTTTTGTCCGTTGGCACAAATCATCTGCCAGTTCGTCGGCATCAAAATGTACGGCAAAATATCGATGCCTGGATTTCTCGTGTTCCCCCTGCTCACGCTGGACACTTTTTCCACTAATTTGATCATTTTCACCCCGGCGTGTCACGTATTTGGTAAATCAGTCGAAGTGAAGAGGATAAGTAGAAGCCGGGCAACCCAGTATTGCGGAGGACGATGCATTCTGAACAGAGAAATCAAGTTTTCTCTCTTTTCGCCCTGATTTGACATGCCTTTTTGACATGCCTTATTGTTGAAACCCAGTTGTGGTTTTCTACTAATTTCTGATTTGTCAAGTAGATTTTGTAATTGGTCTCAGTTTACAATTTGTATATTTTTTGTATCTATACCAACTTGATTTTTATAAATGGTGTCAAATATAGGTTACATAAGGTTAGGTTATTTTAATTTTTTTTGAAAATTCAAAAATTTTGCTGAGATTTTAACTTTTCGAAAATAAAAAGCTAGCAAAAAAATGTTTAAAAAATCCCGCCACGCGGTCAAACTCGCGCATTAAAAAAAGTGCAAAACCAAACGTTGGTAAGGTTGACCTGCACTACCAAATAAAATTGGTCCGGTCGAAATCGGAGTGTAGCCGCTGACACATCCGCATTGTAGGTATAAATATAAACTGTGTGTGTTGAAACATAATTTAGTCTAAATTGTTAAACTAGGAATTGTTTACCAAATCTGAACATATCTTTAGTATCTCCATACTGATGTGTGTTTTTGTATCAATGTCGTATCCAAACAAATATATAGGTTATGATTTCACAGATTGGTTGCTTGTTCACGATAATACTTTAAATAGCACTGTAACGAGACTTATCGCAATGCATAAACTTAACCAGAGCTTAGTTTCAAATAAATGTGAATATTTAAGCAACACGTTTTATACAACTTATATAGCTACATGCGACAACAAAATTTTTTTTGATAAAGTACGATCCATAATTACAGCATATAAAACTACTCAAGTTAATATGGAAGCATGTATTAGAACCAATTATAAGTAAAGTTGTGAACTATTTTGGATGACAAAAATCTAAGTAAGTGAATCGACATATGTAATGTACGAATTTATCAAAATAACCGTGACCTTGATCAATATCATGACAGTTCTCAATAGCTACGAATTAAAGTTGACATACATAAGTAGTACCATACACCAAATTACTATCGTAGTCATAAATTTACACAAACGACCTTCTACTGATTACACTTTGGATGGTCAACGGGAACGATCTGACGCAACATATATTACTTAGACGACGACCATTTCTCAAATTGCTCCCAGACATGGGCAGATTAATCTTTTTAGTCTTAACATCAATATCATCCTACCATATCTCAGAAAAAATATCCTATCGAAATTTTCAAGATATTTCAAGGTACTGCAATGCTCTCCTTCTCCATGGCAACCTTCACTCCACGAAAATACAGCCCTTTGCCAACACTCTACTCCCAACGTTTATAATTTTTGTTTCAAATTTTTCTAATCAACGGAAATGGTCGTATAACGATTATGCTGAACACGAAAAATTTGCCATTGATATTTTTCGCACAAGGCTTTCCACTTGCTTAGTAACACTCTTCCCCTACTCATTTCTTCATGACGTAAACGAAACAGAGTTCCGTAAATGGCCAAGATTTGGAACTGATCAACGTTTCCGCTTTACAACAATGGACGATCGAAAATCGTGGGTAGCATCGACATCTAATATTTACGTCATACTAGTGACAAACTATGGGAAAGATGAATTGGCTAAGGTCCAACTTTCTCATCATTTCATTGAGGTATCTCGAAAACTTTGGAATCCTGGTTATCCATAGGGTTTCAAATTTGGTAGAGTTGTGCGTCCTAAAGGGTGGAGAACAGACGGACAATTGTATAGACAATTGTAACTGCAATAATGAACTCAGACTTAAACTTTCTGCCACAATTTTATGTAATTTTGTATAATTCTCGGAAATTTTTATAACAGTTTAATGATATCAGAACTCAATTTACCATTTAGCAGAAATAGACCAGAAGTCTCTTCAGATTGAACTCAGAAAAAATAATTCAGAGTTCAATTCCAAAATAAGCGGGATTTCTTGCCGGGACACTTGACTGGTTGGACAGTCGGCAAAGAGAGTAGATTTTCTACCGTTTATAGAAATTTCAGGGCGCTACTTGAATCCGGGATTTATAAAACGTTGCAAGTTGAAGTAATCGTTAGAAATATTTTATATGGCGAGCTCAAGTGGTAGGGAATGATTCAAACTCGGCTGTGATTCATTAACACACATCTAAACAAGTTCAAGGACAAAAATATTCCACCACATAATTCCACCACAGCCAGATGTTGGACAGGAAATAATTACTCCCACGGACATTATTAAAAAATTAAACAGTCTTTGCACTAAAAATTCTGTCAAAGAAATTACACTAAATTAATGGAGCATCTAATTTCAACGAAATTGTAAGGCGGATGGTTTATTTTTAGCTTTATTTGTAAAAAAATTATAACATTAGTTTTGTACAATGGTGAAATGAATATTATTTTGTAAATATTATGTGCTTAGTGGAAGTAAAAGAATATTTTAATTATACCATTTATTTACAATAATTTTGCACATTAGGTAAGATTTAATACCAAAAATTTATCGTGCTTGCCAAAATCCGGTATTACGTTACCCCATTGGTTTAGAACGTCATTATCCACTACTTCACTCATCCTACTAAAATATAAGTAATTACTGTTGCGGTAAAATTATCAATCCTTACTAACACGTTAGTGAGCTGATCTTATTACCCTAGGTTGCTCAATTCATACCAGATTGGTAGAGACACATAATAATTCCGTCATGGTAATGATTAGGTGACGATTTTATTTTGAGTGCACGCGCACTAGGTAGAATGGACTACACTTGTAAAATGGAAAATGTGTGTTACGTCTTACTTTTGCGGGAAATTCCAATTCTAAAGTATATGTATACGATTTTATTACACACAGAGTCAAAGGAATTTTTCGCCAGGGCCAAAATAGCGTAACGAATTTCTACTAAAATACTAGCATTGCAAAAACTGCGATTCCACTGCAGAGAATGAATAGTGTGGAGATTGCTCCATCCAATTGAACGGGTAATGAAGACTGAAGACCCCTTTCCAAAGGTTTACGACCCAAATATTTTTGGTTAATTTCTTCAATTCGTAATCTTCGATATATTCCACTTTCGAGCAAAGCACGTAAGTATGAGGGCACCTTGGATGCACCATATTGAATCACTTCCCAGTGAAAGTCAATGTGGTCAAAGATTTCCTTACCTTTGTAAAACCTTTTGGCAGGATAATATTTTCTAAGGAAATCCAGTTCTGCATCAATATTATCAGAATCTGCAATAAAAACTGTCTTCCCACACTGGATTAATTCTTTTTCCAAGTGACTTTGCACCTCCAAAAATGTTTGGTTAGGGTGTGAATGTTGCAAACTTCTTAAATGATGAATGTG